GTAGAGCCTCGGATGAACTATGGCGGTTCTCCGGACATTCTGCCAGCAGCCATAAGCTTGTCAGTGATGGAATCAATCTAATTCTACGCGTTTCATTTAAATACCTGGGTTTTTGGTCACGAGGGCAGCATAAGGAATCAAGAACGATGAACCGTCAGGGACAATGACGAGTTCGTCACCTATCGAGTGTGAAATTGGGCGATGAATATGTCGTATAATACTTTAAAAGCACCACCCTGGTCTTCGATCTCTCTCTGCAGCTGGGGCGAATCTTTTCCACAGGCTTTTGTTCACCAATCTGTTTGTATGTTTGGTAAGTCATTGATGTCAATTCATCACTGCTAACTTCCTGTTGCACAAAGTCACAAAAGCTTTCCCCACTTTAACAGCATCCAGATATTCACTGACTGGGTATCATTCATTAGAAATAACGTGGGTGACGAAATATGGTTTGAAATGATAAGTTCCATCTGCTGTTTCGGCTGTGAACGAATCGATTTCCTGACACCATATTGCGATTCAAGAGGTCCATAAGAGCTTCTGCTCGTCCCTCTCAGCTGTTAAAAGCGCCTCGAGTGTCTTACGTTCAGTGCGTTGTTGTAACTGTAGTCTCACTAAACGACTAACGCAATCACGTTCATTCCGAAAGCTGATTTTCCACTCGTCGTTTCCTTCAAGAAGGACTCTCATTTCCTCTACCAGTTCAATACAGGATTTAAAACACTCCTCGGCTTTGGAGTACTCGTCAAGACACCAAAAGAACTTGAGCAAGTCTATCATATCCGCATTGTTCAACATCTTTGTTTCCAGTCTCCTTTGCTATACTTGTGGCTAGCTGATAAAATTCCATCGCTCTTTTGGAATTACCGAGACGCTTATAGACATCGCCGAGGTTTATATATGTAGGTCCTCCTCCATTTTTCATCCAATATCTTTTTTTTGATTCTTAGACTCAGCTCATCAAAAGCTCGATCGCTTTATTAAAATCACCGAGAGACTGATTGACGACGCCAAGGCAAGGTTGTTATATACAGCTGCTTCTTGATATTTGATTTTTTTCAGTATCTTTTGCGATTTTAGAGCCAGCTGATAAAACGCGATTGCTTTTTGGAAATCACTAAGAGAATTATAGGCGAAGCCAAGGTTGTTATAAGTACTTCCTTCTCCATCTTTGTTTCCAGTATCTTTTGCGATTTTTAGAGCCAGCTGATAAAACTCGATTGCTTTTTGAACTCACTGAGAGACTGATAGGCACTGCCAAGGTTGTTTATATCTTTGTTTATAGTTCCTTCTTGATCTTTGTTTCCAGTATCTTTTGCGATAAAACTCGATTGCTTTTTTTTTAGAGCCAGCTGATAAAACTTTCGATTGCTTTTTGAACTCACTGAGAGACTGATAGGCAGTGCCAAGGTTGTTATATATCTTTGTTTAGTTCCGATTTTCTGATTCGATTCTTTTTGTTTCCAGTTCCTTCTCCATCTTTGTTTCCAGTATCTTTTGCGATTTTTTAGATTGCTTTTGAACTCCAGCTGATAGGCAAGGCCAAGGTTGTTAAAACTCGATTGCGATTTTTTGAACTCTTTTTTTGAACTCACTGAGAGACTGATAGGCAAGGTTGTTATAAGTTCCTTCTTGATCTTTGCCAGTATCTTTTGGATTTTTAGAGTTAAAACTCGATTGCTTTTTGAATATAGTTCCTTCTTGATCTTTGTTTCCAGTATCTTTTGCGATTTTTTAGAGCCAGCTGATGATAAAACTCGATTGCTTTTTGAACTCACTGAGAGACTGATAGGCAAGGCCAAGGTTGTTATATATAGTTCCTTCTGATCTTTGTTTCCAGTATCTTTTGCGATTTTTAGAGCCAGCTGATAAAACTCGATTGCTAAACTCGATTTTTTTGAACTCACTTTGAGAGACTGATAGGCACCGCCAAGGTTGTTATATATAGTTCCTTCTTGATCTTTGTTTCCAGTATCTTTTGCGATTTTAGAGCCAGCTGATGTTAAAAACTCGATTGCGATTTTTTTGAACTCACTGAGAGACTGATAGGCAAGGCCAAGGTTGTTATATATAGTTCCTTCTTGATCTTTGTTTCCAGTATCTTTTGCGATTTTTAGAGCCAGCTGATAAAACTCGATTGCTTTTTTGAACTCACTGAGATGTGATAGGCAAGGCCAAAGGTTGTTATATATAGTTCCTTCTCCATCTTTGTTTCCAGTATCTTTTGCGATTTTAGAGCCACCTGATAAAACTCGATTGCTTTTTGAACTCACTTATAGGCCAAGGTTGTTATATAGTTCCTTCTCCATCTTTGTTTCCAGTAACTCACTGAGGCTCGATTGCAGTTTTTGAACTCACTGAGAGACTGATAAAAGGCCAAGGTTGTTATATATAGTTCCTTCTCCATCTTTGTTTCCAGTATCTTTTGCGATTTTTAGCCAGCTGATAAAACTCGATTGCTTTTTTTTTGAACTCACTGAGAGACTGATAGGCAAGGCCAAGGTTGTTATATATAGTTCCTTCTCCATCTTTGTTTCCAGTATCTTTTGCGATTTTTAGAGCCAGCTGATAAAACTCGATTGCTTTTTTGAACTCACTGAGAGACTGATAGGCTGAGAGACTGATAGGCCAAGGTTGTTATATATAGTTCCTTGTTGATCTTTGTTTCCAGTATCTTTTGCGATTTTTAGAGCCAGCTGATAAAACTCGATTGCCTTTTTGAAATCACTCAGTTGGTGATAGGCGAGGCCAAGGTTGCCAAGGCTAACTGTTTCTGCGTTTTTATTCCTGATCTCTCTTGCTTCATTCAAAGTCATCTCGAAGTAATCCCGGGCTATTTTAAAATCACCGCGTTTAAAGGCTTTTACTCCAAGGTAATTACTGTACAACCAATTTGTTATGGAAGTTTGTTCGGGTTTTCCATGTTTGCCTTTACTTCCTGGGCATGCCTAGAAAAAAATGTAAAACAAACCCTCTTTTGAAGCAAGTTATGGTATAGAAGATGTTTTTAATGTAAAGTTATACCCTTTTTGAGGAAGAAAATAGCCCGCAAGATTTTTTGTGGCAATCAACTCTCCCCTTGCGGATACCTCGATATTTCGGACGACCCCTGCTAACACAGCCAAATCCCCAGCAATACAAACTCCCGCTATTACTCGCTTGAGCCAGATTGTGGCTTTGAAATAAATTAGCTCATAATATAGCTCGGACTGCAAGTTTCTAGAGTATATATACTCAAGTATAGAAGTATTACCAATGAACTTTATTTCTTAGGCGGATAAATCTACAAGAGCTGATATTTGACCAATCCGCCTTGACTTTGGCGGCTCACGAAGTAAGCCAAAAGTCCATTTATTTTCGCGGCTTTAAAATTTATCGTACAGAGAATCAAAGGGCGTTTTACATTCAGCCAAAACTTTCGAAAATTTGGAAACAGCGGCAAATGGTATAGAGATTTTCCGGAAAAGTTTCTGGAAATACAGGAAGCTGTTGAATCAGTCCGAAATGGGAACCATTCAACCAAAAATTCTACCTGGAAATCCCGGGAGCAAAAATGAATGGAAAGAAATCTTCCGTTAAAAATTTTTCGAAAATTTGGGTATACCTCGCGAGGTTGTCCCTCGGTTTTGGAAGTTTTGAAAAATACTATTCCGTTTGCTACTGGAAGTTGCCGAAAATTCAAAGTGGACATTTTGGTTGAAGAGAAAGCGCCCAAAGTTTCTTTAAGAAAATTATTTTTCGGTCACTTTTTTTTTTTTCTAATGGTTATGAACTAATATTTACTTTAACTGGGCAATTCTGTAAAAAAGACATTAACTTCGATCAATAGCTCAAACCCTTGAAATATCATATGTGACTTTTTCAAGCTCCTTCATCGGTTGAATCGAAATTAATTCGATGCAAGAAAGACGAACTAACCATTCACTGTAAATTAACCTCCGCCAAAAAGGAACAAATAGTGGTATTCGGCTGTTGGATCTCTTCTATTAGAATCAACCATGTAATATCAGTAATATCAAAGGTCACTTCGACCGCTTAATCAAAACAATTCAAAATGCTATTTTATAGAAATAGAACAAAATACCTCGTTTTCCACGGCTCTTCTACTCGTCGCTTTTTTCCTTAGTTCAAGCAACGTGGTGTTTTCTTCGTCGATCTTCCAAATTGTTAAGGTGTAAATAGTAATTTCGAAATTAAGTTGAAGTAAAGTATACTTGCCATAGGTTGAATATAACTATAAGAGCGTTACCCCTTATGAGCAGCCTAAAGTTAAAAACAAAAAAAATACGGTCTATCCTGCATATAGCGGCCCTGCATATAGCGGTCACCCAGTATACTACGGCTACTGGACAACTCTCCGAATATATTGCCATATATGTTCTGTAAGTTGATCTGTTTAAAACGGTCTCCTCTCTATAACGGATGCGGTCACCCTTTAGACTCCCAAAATGCACAATTCGATTATATTTTTTACCTGTTTATAACGGTCCACAAATTGGATTACGATCAAATAAAGGATAAAATTCAAGATGTGTGCTCCAAAGTAGACGGAAAAATGAATGCTAGCAAAATCGTCGAGTCAGTTAACCTTTTCATGGCAATCGAATTGGGAACCTACAAGCGTTGAACGAACTCAATATCCAGTTGAATTTAAAGGAAACTTATATATATATATATATATAGCGGTCACCCATTTCTCAAGGCTGAGAGTTATATATAGGTTTGACTGTACGCAGCATTTTCCCTGCAACATGGTTATAAAGAGGGGATAATCCTCTCTTGTTAATATTGAAACGCTAACAAGACTAATATTGTTGACACTGTTATTGCTACACAAACTTTTTAAAAACTAACTTTTATTAGAAATTCCACTTTTTCTGTGCTTTTGTGGTCGCTTTTGAACAAACAAAGAAATAGAGAAAAATATCGCGTACTGTTGTGTAATTCGTACTGAAGAAGTTTAGATAACTAAGCACCGCCCTCAAATAAGCACTGAACCG